TATCAAAAAATAATATAAAAAAATTATTTCTATAACATCGTCCTTATTTATATTATTCTCACAATTAATAATAAATAAAATTAAAATTTAAGATTACATTTTATAATTGGTAATATAATATAAATTATGTTATTTAAAATATTAAAAAATAAAATTTATATTAATTAATAATTCTTTTTTAAAATTATAATATTATATGTATCAATTAATTGAATAATATAACATTAATTACATTATTAATTTTAAATTTTCATCTTAAATTTTTATTATCTCTCTCATTATTCTATCCTCTCTCAACCGTTCTTTGTAGAGTGTGGTGATAAGCACAAGCAGAATGGTAAAGATTATTAAATTTGTATTTAATTTAATTGATATTTATAGTTTCTTTAAATATATAGCTATAATGTTTTAAAATATTAAATTATAAATTAATTATAATTTATTAAATAATAATTATTAATTATTAATAATTTTTAACTATCAAGTGTCAAATCAAATAAAATTAATATTTCTTAACATATTTTTTATTTCCTTAACAATTCCATTTGTAGTCACAATAACACCCCAAATATAAGGCAGGCTTTAGTTTTTGGGTAAATTTATTACATTAATTTAGATGATGTGTTCATAAAATCCTCTAAGAAGAGATTAACTTCTAGATATGCAAAAGTTATCATAAACACACTTGACCTTTTAAATCCAAAAAAATAAAATTATAATCTCATTTATTTTATCAAAAACTTGTAATTTAAAATTCATATGGTCTCCAAACTCATTCAGTGCACTGGTGGCAGGAAACTTTTAGTCATCCTTGGAACAACAAAAATCTTAGCAGTTGAATTAAAACAAGGGCTGTTTAGTGGACTAAATAATTTAATCTTGACTAAATCTCTAGTTTCTCAACAAGTTATTTTCTTGATATATAAGTAGAAATTAAACCTTTAATTTGTTGTTCAATCTTTACAAGAGAGGTATGAAAAAGAAAAGAGAAAGATTTGTAGGAGAGAGAAAAGAGAGATTGATATTAAGAACATGCTGCAAAACATAAATAACATAACAATATAAATACTATGTTCAATTCTTTAGTAACTGAATCAAAAGGGGGAACTGGGGAGAGAGACAAAGCATTTTGCCGTTTGTCTGTCATTTTTTCCTTTATGAACTTAGCATTTCCACAGACGCTACCTCACAGCTTGCTAGATCTTTCCATTGCTGAGTTACTGTCTTAATCTGGGTGTAAAATTGAATCCCGGCCTTGCCTGCAGTACACATAATTTGAGTTTTACTAACTTCAGAGGTTTCCCACAGCTGAGCAGCTTTGCCATAGTTGCTTACAGACAGAATGAAATGGAATTGTCAGGTAAAAGGAGACGTGAGTGTACCATCAAAATTGAGATCACCCGCAAAACATGGCTTTGAGCTGGTGAAAGAGGAGAAGGGCAACGGGACCGAGGTGGGTACGTTGATGCCAACCTGAGTCAAAAGCGGGGAAAAATGGTTTAGCTTTTAGTTTAGCCATGAAAAGTTTAGGCAGGAAACAAAAGGGAGAAACTTTTGTAGAGGAAGCCAAAGGAAGCATGTCAAATTAAAATAGTGGACAGGTGCCTCTCATGCCATACATGGACTGCTGTAAAAATAGGACTACTGCAGGGAGCTGCATTACCTGTCCAACCTCAATCTCAGTCTGGAATTTCCTAGCAGCTACACCTGATGTAGTAAATATAGAAGCTCCATTACCATACCTGTAAGAGTGCCATCAAGTATGCATAAAAACAAAAACGGAAAAAAGAAGAAGGTGCTATCAAGATATAAAACATTATAAAAACTTCGAATTCTGTTGATGATGGAGGAGTCTAGGTGCAAGTTCAAATTGACATTACTTATTTTTGTTAACAATGTCTATAGCCTCTTCTATGCTATCAACCTGCACGAGGGGGAAAATACATATTAACAAGTTTCTAAATACATAACTAACTTGACAATCAGAGAACAGGGATCATAGATAAGAGGCAAACCTGCATACAGAGGAGAACTGGGCCAAAACTTTCCTCCTGAGGAAACAAAGATAATGGATTATGATTCTTATGAAGGTCCAAAGAAACTCAACTTGTTACTTCCACTAGAGACTTTGAGAGACTAATTATAATTACTTTTTACAAAATCCATTTTGTTGTGAACATGACATAATATACCTTGTAACAATCCATATTGGTCGTGACATCAGATAAGATGGTGGGGCCAATGAAGTTCCCTTGTTCATATCCTTCAACCTATGATTCACAAGGTGCTAGTCAGAGGTGTATATTGTTCATGATATTCTTCAAAAATTGGAAACTTTAAATGGGAACAACCCATACTACTCAGAGGCATTCGAGAAATCAAAAAGTTAACTTTCATATTGAGATCAAACTTCTACAAACTCAGTATCATCACAATATTATAGAGAAACAAGCATCTCATGGTACAATAAAGTACTATAATTAACTATTTGCATTATTTAACCAAATAAGATTTTTTGGCAGACTATAAATTAACAATCATGGTGCATTACATCAATAAGTTATATGCAGACAACAAATCAAAATTACAGAAGTGAAAGTAATTTAATACCACAAAGTTTCTCCCATCAAGCAGTAGTTTTGCACCACTGTCGATACTTGATTGAATCAATCTGCATGTGCGCTCCTTTGCCTGCCAAGCAGAAGAGTATCAGAGATAAATTCATAATTGAGTAGCATATACAAATGTGGATGGTGCTTAACAAGCTACAGTACAGAAATCCCAAAGTAAAAATGCATAGTTATTTCTCTCAAACAACACATCAAAGGAAAACCCCACTTCCTATTCACCATCTCAATTTGATATTTGCAAGGGATTAATTTGGTAAAGAAATTTACCTGCTTGCTAATCAGAGGACCAAGATCTGTATCTGGTTCTGTTCCAGCATTTACTTTAAGTGCTTTGACATGGTCCACCAGTTTATCTTCCCTAGCAAAAATTAGTACAAACAACTCTTCAAACATATCAATCTCTATCTCAATGACTAAGTAAAACAATTATTTCTCCAATCAAACATGCAATGGGAAGAAGAGAGCACCCAGAAGGATTTATGGTTCTACAAATAGAGAAATATCAAGATAACTGTATCCTTAAGTCTTTCTCCATCCATTTTTTTTCCTAGATCATAACCGTATCTGAAGTCTTGCCATTGCAAATGTCCTGCCCCACACATCCAGGCAAACGTCATAGCATGAAAGTGGTTTAAACCCCTTTGGAGCCAATTAAGCAAATTCAGCTTTTTAAAATAAGGAACTTGAATGTCAGACTCCAATTAAGATCAGAAAATCTAATCTTCTAAGGTGCAGGATAATTCAAATGTGGTTTTATTGTTGAGAAGTTAAACATCAGGTCATCATCTAGTGAAAGCAATTTTTACCAAATATCTAGAGCAAGTTAATGTGAAGGACATCATCCTTTAAGATTAGAGATTATTATAAATGAGGATAGAATTAAAATATATAAGCAAATCTGCATTCTTCAACTGAAAATCTTTTCAATAAAATTTGGTCAATGCGCCAATTAAGATGGAAAAACGAAGGAGAACTTTGGAAGCAGGTCAAACAAGAGAAAAGCCTCCTCTTTATGTCATAAAAAATTAAAGTCTACCAAATTACAAGTCGTTTATGATGAAAGAATGGAAAGTTAAAAAACATGTCCGCTTTAACTGAGAGCAATGACAGAACATATATAAAATAAAAGATAAAGAGAACTTGGCATTCATTCTTGAAGATAATTAGCCCCCATCCCCCACAGAAAAAATAAAAATAATAAGGGAGAAGAAGATTTTGCACACAAATTTCAGATATTTCCTGCTAGGACTACGAGTTACTGATTGATTGGCAATGGTGAGCTGACACATATCATTAACATCCCATATAGAGGAAGGACAAGCAGTAATTTACTGGGTATCTACTAACCAGGAAGCAATTGAGTTACCATATATGGAACTTACAGCAGATGTAAATGGGATGAAAGAATTTACAAGTGCTTATTATTGCTATGTTTTTCGAATGATTTCAATCAAGGACTTCCAAAAAAAAAAAAAAAAGAGGTTTTCTCTAAAATGATACAAAATGACTTGTGCTATGGCCTGCAAGCAACTTCAGTGAACAAAACTCAACAACTAACAGATTAAAATGTGGAATAAATAAAAGCAAGTGACAAAGAAACATGATACCATGGAGTAAAGCCTCCAACAAAAATGATTGTGCTAAAGGCCATGCACTTTTGTCCTGCTCCACCGAAGCCAGCAGTAGCCAAAGCATTCAGAGTAGCATCCACACTTGCATCAGCCATGACAACAGCATGGTTTTTGGCTCCTATATTGCACTAAAAAAATGAACGACAAGCCAAATTGCAAATTTAGATGCACTTCACTTGTTGCAAGAAGGAGATAACCCATTTTTGCTCATATATGAACTGATGTCTTTTCCAAAACCTACCTGAATACGTTTACCTTTGGCTGATGCTCTAGCATAAATGTAAGCACCAGCCTTCAAAAATTGAAAGAGGAAAATGAGAAATTTAAGTATTGTAAGTTCTGGGAAATAAGTATTAAAAGCCTAGAGCCTCAGGCGATTATCAAAAGAAGAGAAAACTAAGGTAGTAAGATAATATTTAAGTGAGTATTCAAAGTGAGAGAACAACATCCAACAAGAATACATTCAATGATATACAGAACAACCTTAGCAGGATGTATTAAGAGCAAGCCATAAGCTGCAATATAACTTACTGTACTTGTACCAACAAATGAAATAGCTTTAATGTTGTCATCATCACAGATAGCATTAATAATGTCCTGCCAAAATCAAGTAAAATATTTAACACATTAGGAATAAGAAGAAATACATAGAAACATGAAACATAATTCCAATTCCATCACCAGATATCAAAATAAACATTAGATTCAACAAAGGATCAACACGAAGAGCAACTTTCATGAAAGAAAAGCAACATACACTAAACAGAAGTTGGATGTGTTCTTTGGTATATTAAATTGAAAAGTTTCATGGCACGTGATATCTTAAATGTTCTGCATTAATTACCCAGTTCAAACTCACATTGGTCCCATGTAAAATATTCAAGACACCATTTGGAAGGCCAGCCTCCACTGCTAGTTCAGCAAGCAGGACAGCAGCACCTGAAAATAAAAATGGCAGATTACTTCTATGCTGAGCATTGAGATCTTATGCAAGCATAACATAAGCTTGAAGCCAAAGCCAAAATGGATCTATGATTGTATCAATCTTCTTATTATCCCCAGGCACCAGGGACAGGATGGAGGGGACTTTCGAAATGGATGTAGATACTGAGGAATGTGTGAAGTCCCAGACATTCCTCATTCTAATTCTTAAAAGATAGAATAATCACCTGGATCCATCTCTGATGGCTTAAGAATAAAGGTATTACCACAAGTGACTGCAACAGGAAACATCTGCATGCAGAAAGTTTTATGTTGGAAAGCAAATGAGAAGTAATTTAAACAACTACAGTATTACATAAGCATATTCCTAACCATCACACTAAGCAGGCAGCAATGGAGGGAATAGGAATAGTGTGAACAAGACTAACAGAAAAGAGACAAAAATGAAAGAAAAGCAAGCTTACCCATAAGGGTATCACAGCTGGAAAGTCAAAGGAGCAAATACCAGCACATACACCAAGTGGCTCTCTGATGCTATAAGAATCAACTCCATTGGATACATTAGGAACAAACTCCCCAATTTGTAGACTTGCCAATCCACAAGCATGTTCAACCACCTCTACGAGGGAAAATAAAAAACTTTATAGAGCAAAACTATTGCTTATAAATTTTTCATAAACAACAAAAAACCAAGAAGGAACTAACCTAACCCACATAACACATCACTGTATGCATCTTTCAATGTCTTCCCATGTTCATGCGTAACGTTCAAAGCTAGCTTATCCTATGAGAAATTGATGGGGTTCTCATTTTTTTTTTTAAAAAAAAAAAGACTTTAGATAAATTAAGAATAAACAAAGGGAATCTCAAAGATTTACAATGTCTCTACGAATAAGCTCTTGAAATTTGAACATAATCCGCTGTCGGCTTGTAATTGGTGTGTTTCTCCATAATGGAAAAGCCCGCTTTGCTGCAAATATGGCTGCTCTGAATTCCTCATTCGTAGTCAAAGGAACTTGAGAAACAATTTGCTGCGTTGCCTGTGACAGAGTGTAATTGGCGAAGATCTATAACTTGCTTGACAATCATATGAAGCAACAAAGACAGAAATCTTAAACGCTTCCACTTACAGGGTTTATAACATCAATAGATGCAAATGACTGTGAATCAACGAATCTACCTCCAATGAGATTGGGCACCCTCTGACATTCAACAAAAACTAAGTTTGATTGCAACATAACTTTTGGCAAACAAAGGCCAACAAGAAGGGACAGGGAGAACATAAGGATAAGAAAGAATGATGGAAGATAAACCAGTAAAGTATTATTTCTTCCTATTCTCTCCTCATTGCAAGTAGTTGGTTAAGACTTTGTTCAACTGAGTTGCACTGCATTGCATCTACGCTTACCGGAGGGTTACGTTGCCTCCAAGATGGCTCCATAACAGAGAGGTAATTGTTTCTAACAGCAGATTTCTGAGGTCTCAATGACTTGTAGTTTCTCACTGCAACAAATGGAATGCCATAACAAAATATAAATAATAGTTGCTCATACATACTCTTTGGCTTTAGCTTAGGTGGCAATACTGGCTTTGAAAAGGTTTTATGGTTTCTAATATCATTAATCCAAAAGTAATCAAACAAAATTTTCTTCACCAATTTGCCATGAGTTTTTCTCTAATACATCATAGACAAATGTAAAATTGCCAAATTGATATTTCACACAAATATGGAAATAAAAGACACATCTTCTACAAGAATAACTCTTTGCAGGGACATCAATATCACCTGCAATTTCTCACAAGAATGGCTAAAATTTCTAATGTTTATCCAGAAGTTCCTAACAAGAAAATGTCCCATGCATTACAAATGGTATGAGACTGAAGCAACAAGTAACACAGAAACTAGGCAAGAAACCAAGAAAAAACTGGAATGCCAGTTCATCATACCTCAATAATAAAGATAATTAACAGGTCATGAAAAAGTAAGATCAAACATTAATGAGATCCTTTATGAGATTTTTCTTTGAAGTTAGATGTGAAAATCCTAAAATGGACTTAAAAAGCTAAACTTTTTTTTTTTCTTTTTTTTGGAGTTCTGAAAATTTTTTGGTTAAAGCTGATTCTTTGACCACTCTTAAAGTTTGGAAAATAAGATCATTCCCTAACTATTGTCACCACAAAATGATAATTCAAAGCTGAACAGACTTTAAGCCTTATATAGTTTACAATAAGCTAATTACAGGCCACAACTGCAGAGATATGCTAGCTCCTCTAGTTCATTAAAAAAAAACAATTTAAAAGAATCAAGTGTAGAAAGGAAAATTATTAGAACAGGTTAGAGAAACAAAGATTTTTAGACAAATCAAATCAAAGAGTGCTTAATGATAAGAAATGACAGGAAAGAAAAACGCACCTGTCATATTTCCCTGTCGAAGCTTAGCTTTAACATTGTAAACATGTTTTGGAGTTGATAAAAGTTCAGGATTGCTTTGTCTGAGTCTCTTAAGAATTTGCCGAGGTTTCAATCCAGCGTCTGTCATTTCTTTAATCAATAAAACTTCTTTCTCATTAAAACGACGAGCAGAAGGGTGTTCTGTTATGTCTTTCAGCGGTTCATGGTTATGTGTTCCATTTTTAACTGAAAGCACCCACAAACCATCATCCTTTTTACCCACTACTTCAAATGGGCAATTTGTGAGTCGTGAACCTGTCTTTCTTCGGCGGGAGCATTCAGAAGAGGACTCATCAACAGGTTTCCGCCTGTTACGATAAACACCTCCTCTGTCACAGCCAAGGACTACAACTCTGTCCCTCTTAGACTGCTTAATGGTTACCACATAGCCTTGTGATACAGCAAACTCCCCAACATGTTGGATGAGTTCCTCACGATCCACAAAAGTTCCTGGCGAAGGGGGAAGCATCAATGGCTGTTCATTGTACTCACTGCTATCTTGGATGTCCATAATAACCAATAGATACAGATAACCTGCAAGAAAGCATAATTTCCTCAATATAGCGGGTCAACAGTGCTCTAAACTACTCACTCTACCTGTCTACCGACTATATGTCATTCAAAATCTTGTATGCATGCTGTTTTTCACTTATCCCACCTCATACAAAAATGCTACTATCCTCCTCCTCCAAGCCTTCACTTTCCATTATGAAGAAGTAAATCATAATTTCCGCACTTCCCTGCAAAATTAAAAGATTAATAAGTCCAATAGTTGGAGAAATACAATCCAAGCTTTTGAGCACATCAGATTACATGAAAAGCAGGCAAGAATTTTCAGAGGAAAGATCTTCCTAGTAACCTTAACTAATTCATGCCATTAGAGCAATTTAAACATAGCAACTCTGAATTCTACAAATTTTTAAGGAATACAAAGATACGATCAACCAAAAAAACAATTAAATTAAATCTCGAAGATGTCGACTTCCTTTCTCGGAAACCAAACAGCAAAACAAACATATATGGAAAAAAAAAAAAAAAAAAAAAAA